GAAACTATGAGTATACACTTAATATATCTTAGTCTTCACCCTTATCATGCTCATCCAAATCATTGGCGAGCATAGCAAAAATATTTGCCCTGCACCCTCGGCTTGGTGAATCCACCATGAAGTGGTTGAGCTTAACACACACAAGACGGCCACGTCGGATACAGAACTCCATATGAGCAACCTTAAACGATCAGAGCAGGGTAATACTCATGAAAATGTTTTAAAAAGTTCTTACTGCACTGGAGGATTGATTGTTGTGCTTGTTGTTTACTGTAATAAAGGGACGAAGAGCGATAAAGGCAGCTTGAAGCTTAGCAAATGCGTTTTCTCGACGACAGAGTCGGTGAGCGATATCGAGGGAAACAAGTTCGGCAATTTGCGATTTCCCGGAGCCCGAAATGCCTCTGTAGTAGAGAACTGAGCCAACAATAAGAATTTTTAAAGGATTAGTTACCTCATTATGAGCGCAGCATTTCTTTGCTTGAGAAGAGATAGAGAGATAGTTGAAATAGCCGGGCTTGATCTTCTTTTCGAAGAGGATATGTCACTGAATGGATTCACAAAGAACAGCCGGCCATTGTTTATATACTAAATATGTTCTTTAAGTAAAGCACTTTTGTTTCGGAATCGATAACAAGATTAAAGCTTTTTTTTCAAATGCACGAGCCAAACAAGAACAGTTTGTTTTGCAAGCGGTTATCTTTGCGAGGGATTCTTTGGGAAGGAGAATAGGCAAAAGTTCATCAGAAAAATAATAATATAGATGTTTGGTTAGCTTGAAGAAGGGGAAAAGTAAAATGTTAAAGAAAAGCAACAGCCGAATCATTTTTTCTCAATAATTCAGCTCCCTTTCTTGAAACTCAATGCTAAAGGAACTGTCAGAGCAAAGTTTCTTACCCAGCAGACTCCTTGTGGGAATCTGTGTAAAATCGTCTCCAGAAATTGCTCCTCGGTGCACCGAAAAGGAAGCTCAACTGCTTTTTCAGAAAAACCTAAACGCAGCTTAGTCGAAATGTTATCGAATTCGATTTGTAATGTTCAGTTAAAAAACGTATCTTTAAACCGATTTTCAGAAGAACTGCATGATGGCCTCCTTGGATGACTGTTGTCAAGAAACGTTCTTAAAGGCTTTGGAGGTGCTCCCATGTTTTCGACCGAACCTGCTCAGAATTTCGGCTTAGAAGATCAATTCGAGATCCATGGGTCAAATTAACCTGCCACCCGCGGATAACTCCTATAATGACATTGATCGGCTGAAGTGGGTCTCGAGGAGAGATCGAGATGTGAGACGGTCTGTCTGCGAGGCAACTGAGGAAGTGCGATTTCGTTGGGATTGGCGCTCAAGGATGCCCTTAAAATTTGGAGAAATGAGATAATGCTAATATTTTGACTTGTTCTTCCAGTAATTCACCTCTTTCCATCTGGAGTTGGCGTGATGCAATCCTTAGAAGAGCACGTCGACAAGGGATTCTTTATAATAGACGCAGAAGAACCTAGAATTGTAAATATCCAGCATCCAGTAATTCTCTTTGAAAGATTCCCACCAATCTGCAAAGGGACTTTCGTAGGCTGGGGTGTCGGAGAACAGTCCGTTTCAAAAGGAGAACATAGGACTGTCGATA